GTTACTATACATGTTACTATATATGTTACTATACATGTTACTATATATGTTACTATATATGTTACTATACATATTATGTTACTATGCATGTTACTATACATATATATGTTTCTATACATGTTACTATATATGTTATTATGCATGTTACTATACATATATATGTTTCTATACATGTTACTATATATGTTACTATACATATATATGTTTCTATTCATGTTACTATATATGTTACTATACATGTTACTATATATGTTATATATGTATATATATATATATATAACAGTATATATATTGTTATATGATTATATTAAAAAATATAATGAATAATAAAAATCAAATGACACCGTAGTGTATAGTTAATAATGAATAATTATTAATACATTTACAATATATTATATCAGATGGCTTTACTCGGAACACAGAAGAGATCGAATATTATTGGAAAGAGAAACTAACGTTAATGTTAATGACGAGGAACAAGATGAAAAAATAACAAAAGTTTTAACTATAAGTGAAAGAAAGGAAAGCTGTTGTGCTACGAATGGTGTTGAAAATATGGCATTTGAAACTGAACACCTATAACGAGAATTGTATTAGTTGAACGAAAACAAATTTATGTAACTATCAAAAAATTATAATTGTATACGTATATTGTAAACTTGCAATATGTTGATAAACAAATGTTCAATTGATTACGGACAATATTTAAAAAAAATTGTCATTGGTTTAAGAAGACAAATGCATCGCATTAAGGAGAACAAATAAACGTAAGAATAATTCGAAACGATTTTATCATTCGCGTGTGTAAAGTAATTGATTAAAAGTTAAAAATTAAATTAAAAAAGAAAATGTAGGAGGAATTTAATAAGAAAATCAAGAAGGTAATTTACAAGGTGTTGTTACTTGTAAGTAAGATTTTATTAAGACATTTAATGATTCTCAGTTAGTTATTATTTAAAAAACTAAGACATATATATATATATGTGTGTGTGTTGAGTAAAGTAATACACGTCCAGTTAAATAAGTATCTTTCGTAATCTTTTTTTGTGTCTTACAATTTATTAAAGACTAATTATCTTTTCGATATTTATATAAAACAAAATCATTCTCGTCGAGAGTTTATTTCTCGATGTTTAAAAAAAAAAATAATATTGTAAAAGTTTATTAGTCAATTATTGCGTTACGATAAATCATATATTACTCGTAATTATTATACTTGGAAGAGTATTATAATAGAAAATTGATACACGATAAAAATAATAATGTTCATTTGTTAAAATACGTTTAAGAAATTTTTAAATGTTACCGCGATTAAATAAAATTATAGAAAGGTAATATAATAATAAAATTGATTATTTAATTATTATTATTATTATTATTATTATTATTATTATTATTTGTAA